GGCCAACAAGAACCAGCGCACGGTCTTCAAGGCCTCGCGCCCGGACGACCGTTCCGCAACTAAGCGTCTTCTTGGTTTCGTGCGTGGAACGCTGCAGCTTATTGTGGCAACGGATGGAGCGCTGGCAGGCCTTCTTACACTCTTGTAACTTGGTCTTCAATTAAGCATCACTCTTAAGGCTACATGGCTCTTCTTCTCCATCTCGTCGATATAGAGGCATGCTCCTCAGTACAGATTTGTACTCTCCACCCACACCTACACTTGTGCCTGCGCGACGCGCCTTCGAGGCCCAGAGCGATGGCGTTGCACTACCCTAGCCCTGCTTGTGTGCGCTTATATGTTAGCGTTCTTGTCAAACAAACACGTTCATCACTGCAACACCTTGGGCAGGACCCAAAGGGTAGGACCACCTGCCTCCTCCTGCAAGCGCGTGTGGATGCTGGTCGCTGCAATGGCCTGCGATCCCGTCGTCGCCGTCTCTATGGCGGTGCAGGGACGGTGGCGGTGGTACCTCTTTTTGTCATCACGACCATTGTTTTGTCATTTCGACCAGCTTTTGGCAAGCGTGCCACTCTATTTTTATTCGTATTGGAATGCGTTGTTTGTATGTACGTACCTTGAAAAGGGGATTAAAAATACGATATTTTATTGCGCGGTGCAGGGCCGAGCACGGGAATGTTCCGGCTTGGGATTGCCATTGATTGCTTCGAGCAGCCGCAGCCATGGCGCCCAAGAAGCAGAAGGGCGAACAGAAGGACGAGAAGCACAAGCACCCGCTCCAGGCGGTCATCTTCGCCGACTCATGGACCAAGACCTTCCGGCCCATCTCGCTCGAGACGCCCAAGGTGCTCCTGCCGCTGGCCAACGTGCCGATGCTCGAGTACACGCTCGAGTTCCTCGCCTCGAACGGCGTCGAAGAAGTGCTGATCTTCTGCACGGCCCACGCAGCCGCGATCGAGGCCTTCCTAGCAACCTCGGTGATTGCGCAGACGGTCAAGACGCAGTGCATCCTCGCGCCCACGTGCTTGACGGCCGGCGACGCCATCCGCGAGCTCGATCGGATGCAGGCCGTGCGCTCGGACCCGTTCATCTTGATCTCGGGCGACGTGGTCTCCAACATGAACCTAAAGGGCGCGATCGAGTCGCACGAAGCGCGCAAGAAGAAGGACTCGACGTCCATCATGACGGTCGTCATGAAGGAGGTGCAATTGCACCACGACATTCGCCCGCTCACGGACGACCTCCTCGTCGCGATGGACACGGCGACGAACCAGATCGTCTTGTACGAGTCGTCGTCGTCGCACGCGCCGTCTGCGCTCCTCCCGACCGCCATGTTCCAAGACCACAAGCAGATTGGCTTCCGGTACGATCTCATGGACGCCCACGTCGACATTTGCTCGCCCGAGGTGCTCTTGCAGTTTAGCGACAATTTCGACTACCAAGACATGCGCCGCGACTTTATCCGCAACGAAGTGCTCAACTACGAGATGGGCAACCGCATCCACGCGCACATCATCTCCAAGGAGTTTGCTGCGCGCGTGCATGACCCGCGCACGTACGCCGCCATCTCGCACGCGATCCTCCAGCGCTGGGCGTATCCGATGGTGCCCGACAACAACTTTCTCGGGCTACCGTCGACCTACCGCCACCAGCGCGGTGACATTTACAAGGAGGACGACGTCCAGCTCGCGCGCACGTGCACGGTGCGCTCGACGTCGATCGTTGGCGGCCGCACGACCATTGGTGCCAACACGGACATCGTGCAGAGCGCGATTGGCCGCGACTGCAAGATTGGCCAGAACGTGCGCATCGCCGGGAGCTTTCTCTGGGACAACGTGACGATCGAAGACGACGTTGTGCTCGAGGGCGCGATCGTTTGCAACGGCGCGGTGATTCGCAAGGGCGCGATTGTGCAAGAAGGCGCGTTGATCTCGTTCAACGTGGTGGTCGGCCCCAAGTTCACCGTGCCGTCGTACACGAAGCTCACGACGGTTCGGGCGACGGACGACGACGACGGCTTCTCGAGCGACGACGACGACAGTGACAAGGACGCAACAACGACCACGGAGGCATTGGGCGACGACGCGTGGCTCCCCAAGCACGTGGGCGTCAACGGCGTTGGCCGCATCTGGACGCTCGACGACGACGAGATCTACCTCGACGGCTCGGACGACGAAGACGACGACGACGACGACGCGAACCAAGCCGCGCGCCTCCACCGTCTCAAGCAGACGCTGATTGGCGCCAAGGAGGTCGTGACGGCGCGCACGTCACGTCTCGCGTCCTGGGACGCACTCAGCGAGTCGGACGACGAAGAGCCGCTGAATGCGTTCGAGGAGGAAGACCCAATGGCCCGCTTCGTGCGCGTGGTGATGGACATGGTGCTCTCGGGCGACGCCAACGGCGACGACGTCGAGAACTTGTTTTTGGAGATCAAGAGTTTCAAGTTTGCGCAGAACCGCAGCTTTGCCGACTGCCTCGAAGCCATTCTGCCGGCGCTCTGCAATGCGATTCCGCGCGCGAACAAGGCGCCGATGGCCATCATGGGCCTCCTCAAGGCCAAGCTCGAAAAGTGGAGCGGCGTCGTCTCCAAGTGCATCATGAACGACGTCGAGCGCGTCAAGATCGTCGACACGTTGGCGGCCTACTGCGTCCACGCGACCAACAGCGCGAGCTTTGGGAGCCTCTTCCGCTACATCCTCCAAGTCGCGTACGACCTCGATTGGATCACGGAGGAGACCGTGTTTGGCTGGGAAGACAAGGTGCTCGCCGAGGCGCCGAGTCATCCCGAGCAAGCGCTGCTCAAGGCCGCTGCGATGCAAGAATTTCTCGAGTGGTTACGAGAAGACGACGACGACAGCGACGACGACGACGACGACGATGATGATGACAGCGACGACGAGTAGAAGATGTATAATGCTCGGATCTTGCATGTCTCTTCTCTGCCTTTGGTGCGCGTTCTCGCGTTGGACAAGCTGTCATCGTCCCAAGCGACGTACTACAGTGTGGCTGCCCGCGAGTCTACGTTGCCGACGCCTGGCTGCGATGACAGAGTTGCGTGTGCCAGCTTAGAAATATGAAAAAAACTCAGTCGGCGCTGATCGCAAGCACTGTACTTGACTCGCTGAAAAGGCCGAGAGGGTGGTCGAAGCGTCGCCGCGGAACTCCCGCCAAGATCGCACCGGGCGCTGATTGGCTGATATTCGCCGGCTCATTGGTTGCACTTTCTGCGGCGATCATCATAATGGCGGGCGAGATTGCCTTTGCGGCCGACTTTACGGACGACGGCTACAAGCTGCTGGAGCTGCCGGCCGACGTCTGCGACGCGCTTGTGGCCGGCGACGAGGTCTACGTCGTCGGCGACCCGTCGCAGCGCGCCGTGCTCTGCACGGCCACGAAGAGCTACCACCTCGTGCGCGAGGACCAGTCCAACGTGCGCCTTCTCGCCGACTCGGTCGACTGGGAGGCCGACAAGCTCGACGCGTCCGGCGTCGTCTCGGTGCGCGGGCAGTCCATGACGCACTACGAGCTTGTCGAGAAGCCACTCGACTTGAACCAGCTCAAGCTCCTTTTGATCGAAAACCCGATTTGCGCGCCGTCCGCCGAGGTGAAGCGCATGAAGCGCAGCCTGTACACGCTGCACGATCTGGCGGACCGCCTTCAGCACAGCCCGCACGAGGTGGAGCTCATGCTGGCGCAGCTCCGTGCCGTCGAGATTGACGGGTATTGGCGCCTCCTCGAGGCGTCGTACAGCCGGCACGTCGTGGGCCTCGTGCTCGAGATCTTTCTCGAGCGCGACTGGGACTTCAACTCGGAGCATGCGCTGAGCCACATTGAAGTGCACTTGACCGAGACGGTGCATTCGTCCGTGCTCGCCCACTGCCTCCGCATGTACAGCGTCGACGGCTCGGCCTTTCGTCTCGACAGCGCCAAAATCGCCATCTTCCAAGCGATCGCTATCTTTGAAGAGGCGCGCTCGAAGGAGTGGACGCTGGCAGCGTTTATGGAGCAGTGGGGCTTCCGCGTGCCCATGGGCGTCGCGATCGATGCCGCGCTGCTCGTTGGCCTCGCGATCCGACGCGGCGAGAAGCTCGCGTACTTTCCGGCCGACCAGCTCTCGGTCGAGCCCAAGCAGCGCTTCCAGGAGATGTTTGCGTTCCAGCCAAAGTGGCTGCTCTCGCAAATGGAGCCGTATCTCGCGTATATCTAGCGGCTCGTCATGCATCCGTTTTCTCATCGTCGCGCGTGTAGGCCGCTGGTGACCAAGAACATGACGCAGGCGTCGCTGCTGCTCAAGTATACACGGGCGTCTCGTGTGCCCAACTCGACCGAGCGGCTCTACTCCAAGCGGTAATCATTCTTCTTGCGGACGCGACGAACAATACAACTCTCCTGGGACTCGTGTGCGATTGCTTTGGGATATATACCGCCGCCCATCTTGGACTCGACTGACAGCACGTCAACGTGTCGGCAAGAGCATCGCTTAATGTGCTGCCGTCAGAACGTCGATGGAGCTTTTTGGCTTGTAAGGACGTCGACGTGCACGTCAAGGAGACAACCGCGATTGACGCGTAGTATCCCGTGGTACTTGGAGAGCGATCAGGGAGCTTGTCTGTGCGAGACGTTGTGGAAGAGACTTGCTTGGAGTTTGGCCGCGTCAGCAAAAAGGTCAGGAGCCACCCGAGTCGTACCTCCCGCTCGCCCACATGGCTGAGCAAAACGTGCAGTTACCAAGGCGACCCGCTCACGATCCTCGACGACCTCCAAGCGCCTGACCAACTTTGCGCGTGTGTCCGCAACAAAAGCATGTCAAAAACGGTCATGGAGGGTCGGAGGACGACATCAAGGCATGGCTCTTCCATGCGGCGCTCCACGCCACGGTCGCGAACTCGTCGCACGCGTTCGACAACTGCTGTGGCAGGCACTGACGCGCTGTTGGATGGACAAAGAATGAAGGTTCGAGACAAATAATGTCATTTTTGGTTCTTTTGTCGAACTCCAGCCGTCCTATGGCTATCTAGGCTAAGCGAGTAGCATCGAGTGCAAGGTGCCGTCGCGGCTCACACCGTAGACAACGTTCTCGACGACGGCAAAGTCGGACCACTCCCCGACGTACTCTGTCCAATTCCACGGAACCACCGTGGCGATCGTGGCGCACGACAACTTGTACATCGTCGTGGCGCACACGGCGTGGCCATCAGTGCGCACCGTCGTTCCCTTCCCGACATACTGGCCGTTCGTAATGGTCTTGTTGGCAGCCACCAATGTGGCGTGTTCGACATCACCAGCAAAGGCAACGAACGCGTGCGTCTTGGCGATGACAAACTTGGTTAAGTACGGACGGAAGGTGGTCCACTTTTCGAGCGGACGAAAGTTGTTGTCGCCTTGTTTCGTCGCGCAGCGAAACGAGTCATCGCCCAAGCACAGCGTGTTGCCGTCCGTCGCGAATCTCAACGTGATGCGACCCGTCTCCAGCGTCGTCGTCGCCGATGTCGTGAGGTTGGTCACGGCAATGTCGGGTCGGTCGTCGACGGCCGAGTAGAGGACACCGTTCGCGCACGTAAAGTAGCTCGCGAAACGAACGTCCGCTGTCGGCCACGCAGCGAGTGGTTGACCAGGCGTCCACACGTGCACGGTGCCGTCCTTGCGGAAGCAGAGGCCTTTGCTGTCGCCCGACACTTTGGAAAAACCAGCGCCGAAGTCCAACGGAACCCATTGCCCGGGCGTAGCCGTCGTCGGAACCGGCGTAGCTGGCGCGTTGGTTGTCGTCGGGATCGGCGACGTAGGCGCGTCGGTCGGGCCCGTCGTTAACGTCGCCGGGGTCGGTGTGATCGTCGGGGTGTCGGTGCAGCCAACGTGCTCGCCGGAGATGCTGGCAGCGGCGATGGTCGCACACACGGCGAGGCGCAGGAGACCAGCCGCCTTCATGAGAACAAGTTGACAATTGAAAAATGAACACCATCTTCCTTTGGCGGATCCAAATCCGAGGGTGCCGTACAGAAAGCGCGAGTTGCATACGTCGACACCATGTGATGGCAGCAACGACCCACATGTTGTTGCTAGTCTACGGTCAGTTAACCAACACTCGTACTGCGTAGTGTGCTGCGTATGTGGACCGGTCGCAGACTACTATGTACAACGGAGCGCGGCAACAATCCCCTGAAACCCTAAGACCTAGTACACACTTGTCCATGGTCCTTGCATCCGAGTGCGACTACGGTACATTCAAGCAGCACACTAACTCTTGCGGTGGGACGTTGCGACGTCGTCCTGGTCGCATGCTGCAGGAGATGCAGTAGGAGACCGGGACAGCATGCGTCATGCGGGATACCATGGACGATGTAATGACTTGAGTCAATCGAAAGGATGTTGCATTTGGCGTTTGTATGGTGCACGGCCACGACCAACACCAGACACCAGCCGTCGCGCTTCTTCACGCCCCGGCGCACTCCCGGTGACCAGACACTTGCGGTTGAAATGCCCACGCGGTCCATTTGATTTCAATTTCTGATACCAAGCGGACGAAGGCGAAGCTGATGGTCATTTTCATGCAGGTTTTCACTTGGCGCCAAAATGACATTAGCGAGGCGTCCGGCTCCGAGCTCGAGCGTCAGCCCCAATTTCAAGCTCCAGATTGCGTTTTAGATATCCGAGAGAGAGAGAGAGATCGTATTCACGAGGTATACGACTGGGTTGCTCCACTGTTGGAGCCTGGTTGGAGGCGAAGAAAGGCTTGTTGGCTCATCACGAGTGCCTGCTGCTGGCAAACGAAATCAATGTACGTACACCACAAACTTTGCACCCGAAGAGGTTATTTTGCCGAAATGCATGCAGCCGGTTCAGCCCGTCTCGTCTACGCCACATAGTCACGATTGGCCGGTGGAATACAGAGCAATGACACTATGTCTGCAAAGGTGGTGATGGTGCAACGACGACTCTGTACGTAGTCTATTCGTTTGCCATCCCGAGGACCTTTGACGATGTCATGGTCATTTTTTTGCTACACGAATCCTGGAAACGTTATGCATGTAATTGTAAATGACGATGCCTCGCGTGTACTAATACTGCTGCAAAGTAGATGAAAGTAGATGATGGAGGTGGCACCGAGGATTTTGTATCATGATCAAGTTGCGCTACAGATCGAGTCCAAGATTTCTGATGGTGAGATCTGCACGACGCTATGTGGGACTAGGTAGCTTTACAGCTGGTGCCTGGAATCGAGGCGACGCAAGTCATCTAGGCCACCACGGGTGTCCGTTACGGTCGGCACCTAAACTGAACGTGCTTAAAATCGTCCTAAACCGGGCGAAGTTAATCGCTTAATTAGATCGGATAAACGTTACAGCAGGTTCAATCACCCGCGTTTACGAGGATGCAGACAAAACAACTTGCCGTGCGAGGAATGCACAGCGATTGCTCCATGTGTCGTCAATATAGTGACACCCCTTTGCGAAACGAATGCGACCCCTACAGAGCGCACTGCATACGTCTGCAGTCGTGGCGTGCAAGGTGTGGTTAGGGCTGCAAATCAAGCGACGAGGCATCGTTCTCACGTCATCGAGCGTGCTCCTAGTGGTGTCCGTGGTCTTGAGTGCAAGTATGGTTTCACCATGCATTGTGTGGGATTAAACGACGAGGCTTTTCTACACTGTCGTGTAAAATGGTAGGTCCGACACCCGTCATCATACCAATATCGACCGTCTCTGGTGAAGGCGGTCGATGTGGTGTTGTGACCGTTGATCGCATACAGTGGTGGGGCACTGGGTAGCCCACGTCAACACCACTAGGCCGGGGCAAGGTGATGTGTGTTTGTATGTTTAGTCCTACTAGTGCGGGAGAAGCCTGTTGATGTGAGACTGCACAGCCTTTGGCAGCAGTCAGTGGACGTGCTGTCACTTTCCGTTCTGCTTTGTAGTACACTTAGCCCAATGCACTTAGCCGGTGTTTAGGGCGTACGGCCTCCCTCTGTCTGGTGTTTCACGTTCTGATTGTTGCCAGGGGGCGGAATCGGTTACAGGTGTACAGTTACAGCATGGAATGTCTCCACACTCACTCAAGGCTGCAAGACTGCCATGTGCATCAAATCCAATGCGAAAAGATACGTCTGTATGTCTTTTCATTCAATCCTATCACAGGAAAGATTGATTTTGATCAATCAATCGCCATTCTTTTCCCACCCGAACAGATGGTGGCGTCGCCCTCGAGGCGCTACATGTACACGCGCTACGGACGCACATGGCGACCCAGATGGCGACCTCACTGCCAGTGAGTCACTGGTCTTTTCCGACGAGCAACGCAGGACGCGACCTACCGGCAGCATCGTGCTCGACAACTCGATTGGAAGCGGCTGGTTTCCTGGCGCCGGTAGAAAAGCGGTGTAAGCGAAACTGTCGAAAATCGCAGGACCTCAAAGGGCGTCAGGTAGGGGGCCTATCTCTTTTACTTTTTGGTCTCATTTTTTTTTATCACGATACAAGTATGCAATAAAATAAAAAGGACGCCTCAAAAATCAAAGTGGTCGCGTCGATGAGATGCGGTGGCGGCAAGCATGCCCGCGCGCGCTTCCAAGGCCGGACGAAGCGCGCGCGAACCTTCAACTAACTAAGGGGTGGCTTCCATTTTCCAGAGAGCTTGAAGCAGAGGCTAACGATGGCGGGCCGCTTTGTCACGAGTCGCCCCGGCCCCGGCGGGACGATCGCGTACGAGCTCAACCCGGCGAGTGTTACGGCGATCTTCCCGTCGCATGACGTCTCGACGGTGCTCAAGGCCATGGTCGAAGTCTCGCTCCGCGACGTTGGCAGCCTTCTCCCCAGAGACATCCACGACGTCGACACGGCCAAGCTCCAAGATTTCTTCCCGGACGGCCTCCAGGCCACGGACGAGCTCGTCGTGCTGCCGTACAACGAGTCGCGCGCGCAAACGGTGCTCTCGATCGACCTTCCAACTCTTCCTCTCGGCCACCGCGCTGCGTTCATCGGACAAGTAAAGCTGGAGCTTGCTCCGGGAATCGACACGACGCGGTTCATCGCGATTGGCGGCATCCAACTCGACATCCTCCTTGCGGGGAAGCATCGCCTCATGAAGTGGAAGCGCGACGTCCAGAAACTGCTCGAGGCCTACGCTGCGATCTCGGTCGACCCGCCGACGACGCCCCAGCGTATCAGAGGCACCCCGCTCCACATGACGTCTCCGTCGCCTCAGCGCATCAACGGGCGCTTCACGGCGTCTCCGTCATCCCAACTCATTGGCGGGTGCCTCATGACGTCTCCGTCGCCGCGACGCTTGATGTCGTTGCCGTCGCGATCACCCCAATTGATCGAGTTCATTCCGCAGCCGTCGCCGGCGTCGTCGCCCGCCAAGAAGAAGAAGAAGGCCGGCGCGCGTCTCCAGGCGGTGGTGGAGCTCGACGGGATCGAGACGATGAAGACGGCGTTCAACGACGCCAAGACGCCCAAGACGCCGAAAGCATCGGACGAGACGCGCGCTTTTTTCTTCAAGTGCTTTTGTCCAATGCGCCGAAGTTCTCGTCCAAGATGTCTACGACGGAAACGTACAAGGACCACTTTACCGCGCTTCTCGTCGCCGAAGCCCAAGCCGCGATCATCGCTGGGTACATTTTCCCTCGATATCGCACCCAATCTCATAGTTTCTACGCAACTGCAGGCAAAACACGTTGCCTGCCACGTGCACTCAGCTCGTGGCCTCGTTCGACGGCGTCTCGGACCCGAACGCAGCGACGTTCGAGACGCGAGGCAAGAGCACGCCCATCCTTGGCGACGTCGTCCGCCTCAAGGTGCGTGAATCGGCTGCCTCTTCGCTCTCTATACGCATAAAATGATTAGGTCGACAATTCGCGACGAGCTATCGGCATCGTCGAGCGCGCGTATGGAAATATGGTCGACGTCGTTTTTCTCCAGGCAACGAAGACCATGCTCGACCTTTCGAAGGCCACCGACATCGAAGCCAAGGTGGTTGCGTCGCTGGTGACGACGCTGCGGATGGTCCACGGCGTCGGCTCCGTCGACAAGTTACCCGGGCACTTGCGCGACGTCGTACTCAACCAGTCAAGTGCCGTTGCGTCCGTCTCGGTGCTTAAGGCTGCCGCGACCAAGCTCCGCGCCGTCACCCAGAACTCGAATGGCGCCCCCAAGGCGTCGACCAAGGGCAAGGGCAAGAAGTCGACCAAGAAGCAAGTACTGTACTACATGGATTTCTTCACAGTCGGTCGCCTCACTTGTATGCAATAGATGGCCAAGGAGGACGAAGACGCCGTGCTGACGCTCTTGACGGAGCTCACGAAAATGAAGATCTCGGTCGAAACCCTCGAGGTACGATCACATCTGAGGTATCAATGTTTCAATGCTTGTGTTCGTAGGCGACCAAGATCCACGACGTCGTGGCCGAGCTCGTCGACCAGGCCAAGGCGCCTACGGAAGCGATTGCGATGGCAGCGGCCACACTCGACAACGTGTATCAGTCGCTCATCACGGTACACCTCTCGTTGGCACAATCTGCGTGAAATTCATTCCTTCTACTCTAGCCGTCGCTGTATGACGTGGACCGCTCCGTGGCCGGTCTCATCGCGTCAGAGGTCAACCCGTCGCAGTTCAAGGCGCTGCGTCGCGGCCTCGGCAACTTTGAGACCGGTCTCTCGCTTTTGAAGGGGCCGCCGGGTACCGGCAAGACGACCACCATTTGCGCCCTCCTCTCGGCCCTTCTCTCCAAGGCGTCGCCGTCCAAGGGTCTGTTGCCGAGTGTCCTTGTGACCTCGGACTCGAACGCAGCGATCGACGAGATCATCGAGCGCGTCTTCTCGGTTGGGATTTTCCTCGTCGGCCACGCGACGAAGGTCCGAGCGCAGCTGCCGCGCCCGGAAGCACTCTTGACGCCCCCGCTCACGGCCGTCAAGATGGGCAGTCGACCTGGCGCGCGGGACATTAGCCTCGCGACGGCAGCCGCGCAGTACAAGAAGGAGATCGACGACACGCTCCGCAAGCTTCCCGCCGACGACAAGCGCATCACGAGCCTCCGCGTCGAGAAGGAACTGAACAAGTGGGAACTCTTGGCGCGCGTTGCGACCAAGGCCAACGTCGTCTTCGCGACGCACTCGTCGTGCGCGGGCGCCGACATGACGCACAAGCTCCGGCACTCGGGGTACACCTCTCTCTCACCCGATGAAAACTCATCCCTTTGTGTCGGTAGCTTTGACGCAGTCATTGTCGACGAGTGCGGCCAAGCGACCGAGCCGAGCTCGCTTCTCGCGCTCCTCGCGCAGGCCGGTCGGTTCTTTTTTGTGGGCGACACCAAGCAGCTCGCGCCGACCGTCGTCAGCGACGACGCCAAGACGCACGGCTTTGCCGTCTCGCTCATGGAGCGCTTGGAAGTGTATCTGCCTGTGACGATGCTCACCGTACGCACCGATGGACGATCTTTCTTCTCACACAACTGTACTAGGAGCAACACCGCATGCATCCGTTCATGAGTGCATTCACGGCCAAGGCGTTCTACGACGCTGCCTTGACGGACGCGCCGGCGATCGCGCGACGCGTGCTGGCGCAGGACGCGGGCATGTACACGCACCCGGCGTTCCAGCCGCTCACGGTCGTCGACATTGCTGGCGTCGAAAAGCGCGTTGGCACCTCCAAGTACAACGACGCCGAAGTCACGTTTTGCATCGACCAGGTCCGTTCGCTGCGGCGCATGTCGTCATGCTGACATATCTTCTTTTCGGTAGATCGAGCAACTCATGCGGACATTCCCGCGGGCTCGGAGCGGCGAGTGGAGCATCGGGATCATCACGCCGTACAAGCCGCAAGTGCACAAGATTGTGGATGCCATTGACGCCAAGGTGGCAACCAAGATGGAGACCACGCCGTGGAGCAGCATCGAAGTGTCCTCGGTCGACGGCTTCCAGGTACCTCTCGCAAGAGACGGCCGTGTACTGACGCAGGTTAGGGCCGCGAGAAGGACATTATCATCGTCTCGTGCGTCATGAGTGGCAAGATGGGCTTCCTCGCCGACGACCGACGCACCAACGTCATGACGTCGCGCAGCCGCCGCTTCTGCATCGTCAACTGTACGCATCTGCTGCTTGTGGATGAGGATGCTCATCAATGCCAATGTTAATGCAGGCAATGCGTTTGCGCTGCAAGGCCACGCGACGTGGCGCATGCTGTGTGAGCACGCCAAGGACAAGTGCGCGTTTGTCGACGCCGGCGCCAAGAGCTTTGCGACCGTGTGGGCCGAGACCGAGGCCGACGACGCGCTCAAGGCCCGCGTCTACCTCCAGCACGCGACGCTGCGCGCGACGCTCGAGCAGCGACGCGTCGATGACGAAGAAGACAAGGCGAACCCGGACGGCGTAGAGAAGGCGGACGAGGATAAATCCAAAGACGAAATGCCCCCGGACGGCAAGCGCAAGCGCCGCGGCAGTCCCAAGGTACACGTCTCCATTTTGTGATTGCGCTCTCATTCGTCTCTAAATCTAGGGGCGCGACGGTCGCAAGAAGCGTCTTGGGCAAGGGGTAGGGCAAGCGAGGAACAGCGCCACAATGGCTCATGGGAATACATGTAGAAGCCCGCGACGACAGCGCGTCGAACGTGATTCACGCAGGCCAGCATGAACACCGTCCGTCACCAGCCCGCGGAACGCGCCTGCGCTTCTCATGATTTGATTCATATTTAATAATGCGTTTTTAACAAGCACCTGCATGCGGTTGATCGATATCGCTACCATGGAAAAGCTGCTCTACCAAGACCCTTGGGAGTTTATGCATTTCAAAACTCAAAACATTTCAAGCCTAGCACATCGACCAAGGCCCTAGATTCTGTCCGAGTCAAAGACGCAGAAGACGACTCAACACAGACGGCGTCTACCTTTAGCCTCGAGGCGTGATCCACTCGCAGCTACTAGCTCCCTCATGGCTACAAAAAATAACCACCCGGCCAGCGCTGCACCGTCGTCATCATAATCTGCGTAGCGGCCTCCAATCTTTCAACGGCAAGGAGGAGAAGGTCCACCCACGCTCCATCATCATCAAACAGCCCGACTCGTCTTGAAAGCTGCTCACACCCCGTTCTTCTGGGATGAGGTATGTTCTGCGTCTGGAGGTACGGCGTGCCGCTGGCCTTGTGCGGCGACAGCGTCGGATGGCCCGTGATGCGCGTAGACGTTGGGCGTGAAAAGCCGCGGTTCCGACTCCAGTTGTGCGGCCGCCTTCACTGCCATCTTGCGCTCGTACTCCATCTCGGACGTCACAAGGCCGTTCGTGCGACTGCCGTCCCGAGGACACCAAAGCCACACAAGCCCGTGAGCGCAAACATCCAAAACGCTTCCTTCGAGCTGCTCGAGCGCGTCGTCGCCGTGTCAATCCGGACGTACGGGGCCGCCGCTTCGAGACCAAAAAAGAGCACGAAGAAGAGCGGTGCCGCAGTGAACCAGCCGTGCACACAAGAGAGGCCAACGACCGCAACCCACAGTGTCGCCGGGAGGCCCGCGCCTTTGACTGCAAACAGCGGTCTGGTCTCGGACGCGAAAGATCTGAAGCCGATCGTGGGCTCCGAGCAGCGCCGACCAGCTTCAGCGTCCCAAGCAGCCGCAGCTTGTGCGTCAGCGTCTCAATGTAAAAGAACGAGAGGCTCGCAAAGAGGAGCTCCGTGCCGAGGCAGCTGGCCAGCATGAGCGGACGGGCGAGGCCCTGCTGCATCTCTGCAAGACGATGCGTACGGTCACTTGGATCGTCACCGTTGGTGACATTATTAGCGTTACAGAGAGGCGTGACTTGGACAAGGTTACGCACCGTGTTGGAGAAGGCTACGGATCATTTCATCGTCTTGCAACTATGCTGCAGTGGGTTTGACTGGTAGGGACGCAAACTTAATGCGATAGTTGACAATAGAGGACGCGTTAAGGTCCCGCCGCCTCGACGAGGGTTAGCAAGACGAGTCACCACAGAGAAAGCACCTCGGATGCGGTAGGCACAGTCGGGATCATGATACGGATCCCTCGAGCACACGTTAATTCCAATTGGGTTAAACGAAAAGAGACCACTTTTTTTTTAAGTATCAAAGTATCGAGGTATCACGGCGCTGTTTAAATAGTACTCGGGGGAACCCGCCAAAAGTTGACGTCGTTGTACGCTTCGTCGCCGGTCGTGCGCGTGTGGCAGCGACTCGCGAGCAAACCAGAGTTGGGGCTCAAGCTCGGCGTCAGCTGGATCGGCGTCTGGTGCTTGCACACGGCCACCGAGTAAATTGGCGGGAACATGGCCTCGAAGACGCGGGGCTCAACCAAGCGCTCGTACGACGACGTGACGCGCGCCGACGCGACGCGGCCGTCCTCGACCGCGAACGCGCGGCCTTTCGGGACACCAGCTTGGACCAAGAGCGGCAGGGTTGATGCGCTGCCAAACGAAGCGTAGAAGGGACTCATGTCGGATGGGAAGAGCGACCGAAGCGAATGCAAAAGCGATGCGAGCGGAGCGGCGCAGACCGGGCCCCGGGGCAGCGCCGCCGGTGGCGCGCGTCCACGCACGACCGTCGTGTACACAACATGGTACCCGTTCGCTGCGACGCTTTCGAGAAAGTACGCGACCCCGGGGTACAAGCTCTTGGTCGTCGCGCGGAGCGCAGTGTCAATGTCGACAAAGATGAGCTTGCTCGACGCGTGCCAAAAGTAGACGACCGCGGACGCACGCTTTGGTGCCCCGGGCACGGCAAACTCGATCGCGTTGTCCCCGTAAACAAAGCCCATGGCGGCGAGCTCGGTCGCACTCGCGTGGCTGCGGCTCGGGCTCGACGACGACGACGTCACGGAGGACGACGTGTTGCTGGCTGTTGACGCGTCCGACGGTGCAAACCACTGGAACCAGCGCAGCGGGTCGCTCTCGGAGCGCACAAGCCGCGTACCTTCCTCCATACTACTACAGTCTCTGGTCGATGGAATGGCCGCCGCACTTGTCGGGATACGCTTGGGGAAGCAGACCTTCGAGACAAAGTAGGCCTGCATAAAGACGTCGTACGGGTGCACGAGGCCGTGCACCGACACCATCAGGTGCGGGTGCTGGAGGATGCCGAGCGGATTCGCTCGAAAGTCGGCGGCCGACACGGCGTGCGCGGCGACGAGGGCGGCGACCTCGTCTGCGCAGAGCGACGGTTGCAGCAAGTGGCCACAGAGCGACAACTGCGGCGCGTCGGCCTCTACGCGTGCTCGCATGAGCCAATGCTTACGACGCTCGATGGCCCGACCGAGAGGGCTGCTACTTGCGTCATGGGACTCGGCCATGTAGTCGTCCACGTCGGCGTCGAGAAGCGAGTGGCGCTCCATCGCGTCAAAGTACACGCTCGGGTTGCGCTGATTCGGGCCAAACGACGAGCCGCCTTTCTCCACCGAGTTGGGTGCGCTGCGCTTGTTGTCGAGTGCGTCAAAGTAAAGCCGATGGTCGGGCGAGTCGAGCATCGTCATCGGCATGTGGCCATCGTCCATCGGTCCTTGCTAAACACAGAACTTGTCAAGAATCTGGTTCTTGCCGACCAAGGCGTACGAGCGGGCTAAAGGGAGGCATCGCCGTGACCAAGGACGGACTTGTCTCGTCGATCGAGAGGCTCTCAAGCTCGAGCTCGAGGGCCAAGCTGTCGCGGCTCGGGCTCGGCTCGTCGTCCACAAAATAGACCTCGCCGCGGTCATCAATCTAGTCGTGTGCCTGAGCCCATAATGACCCATCAATATCTATGAGCACCTCGAGCAAAACGTGGTCGACGGCGACGCCATTGACGAGCAGCGTCACGCGGCGGTCGTCTGTGCTTGGCTACGCAGCGGGATCAGGCCACGACCAGACGACACTGCACGTGCGTACGACGTCGAGCCGCCCAAAGCGCGCGTGGAACGGCGTCGTGCGCACCGACGCCTCGTGCTGGATGGCGACGACATCGACGGCGCCGGTCTGTTGGCCGCCCATGTCGAAGACGTTGGCCATGTAGCCCTTCACGGAGCTCAGCATGTTCATCGTCGTCCTCGCTCGCAAATATCCAAGACCGCCCTTTTCGGCTGTAAATCCTGGGGCTGGATCTTTCGCCTTCGAAATTTCGATTGTAGCCAATCACATATCGTATGTGTCGTAGTTCGAAGGAACGCAAGCGGCGCTGCGGTTTCGGTATCCTGTCCGGATATTCTAATGCACGTTATGCTGTTAGAGCCATATTGAAATGTGTTAGAACCACAGTTTGCGACACGATTCTTTTGTTATAACCATTCTATGTACCGCGCGGTCGCGTTACATGGGTACTCGGCTTGCCGTGAAAATTTGTATCCCGCCCTCTGCACCGACAGTCCTCTAACGCAAGGACAATCGAGAGCGTGCGCGCGTTAAATCAACGACGCAGGACGCGTCGAGGAGGTTAAAGTCCCTTTCTGCAGGAATAAAACCCAGCGACCCCCTATCATCCAAGGCGCGCGTCTCGTCGCGCACCTCGCTGGTGGCGGAAAGGCGACGCGGTCTGGCGCCAGCCCAGCTGCTTTTGTAACACACTGCCTTGGTTCGGACTTTTTCGGCTCAAAAGCCGAAATGAACAAGGAGAATCCTGGTTTTGATCGAAATTCGGACTTGTCGTCGAACAAAATTTCCGATCGAATGCCAGAATCAAGCTGGCATTTTCGCATCGTCCGATGACCGAAGTGTTCCGCGCGCCGTCGTCGAGCCGGGGCGGCCTGCCGACCCGCGAGAGCGAGATGGAGATCGTCCGGCCGTCGACGCGCGACTCCGCCATGGACTCGCAGCGCTACAGCTTCAACCACCAGCACTCGGCGGCGAGCGAGTCGACGCGGTCCATGCGGCAAGAGCTGGTCATCCCGGTCCTGCCGCTCACGCAGCCCGAGAAGACGAGCAGCTACAAAGGCCGCATTCGCGTACGTCGCGCCTCCATCGTATACGACGATAAGAGCTATGGCGTAGATTTGGCCCGGCACGCTCTTGCTCGTTGTCATCGTTGCCGGTGCGATCGCGCTCATTGCGACGCAGGCGAGCGTCGCGCGCTCGGACGCCAAGCAACGCGCCATCGACTACCAGTCGGGCGCGCTTGCGAAGCGCAGCATCGACGGCGCCAATGGCCTCGTCGACGTGGGCCCGGACGGCCAGCTCAACAACCCGGTGACGTACGCGACGCAGTGTACGTTTGCATCCATGCCTCACCACATCGCCTAACAACATGGAAGGGTAGCCTGCGCGCAGCTCGACTACCAGAGCAAGAACGGCAAGATCTGGTATGTGACGCCCGATGGCCAAGAGGCGCCGATCTCGATCAAGGGCACCAACTGGTTTGGCATGGAGACGGGCAACGCCGTGCCGTTTGGGCTCTGGACCAACGACCAGAACGGGACGACGGCGTACGAAGTCGCCGACTTTTTGTCCCGCAACAAGTTTAACGCGGTCCGCATCCCTGTGTGCATCACGAGCATCCTGAAGAACACACCGCCGCGCAAAGGCCTCGTCAACGTCGCGATGAACCGCGCGATGGACCTGACCAACTACATTACGACGCTGCAATCGGTCATCAAGGCGCTCGCGTACCGCAACATTGGCGTCCTCATCTCGATGCACACGCTCACGACGACCGACTCGGGCGGCAACTGGTACGACACCAAGCTCGGCATCTCGAAAGATGATTTTCTCGACTCGGTCGACATTCTCACCAAGAACCTCTGCTCGGCCACGTACTGGAACATCATGGGCCTCGACCTCAAGAACGAGCCGCACAAGGCGACGTGGGCCGAGTTCTCGGCCGGCTCGACCATCATCGCCGACCGCATGCACAGTACGTTGATAGACTGATATTTTCTGGTTGACAAACCGATGTAGCCGGGTGCCCCAACTGGATGGGCTTTGTCGAAGGCGTCAACGGCGCCCACAAGCTCACGATCGACGGCACACCGTTCAGCTACTTTGACTGGTGGGGTGGCGGTCTCCAGGGCGCGAAAGAAGCCCCGGCCGCGTTCAACCGGCCCAACAAGCTCGTGTACGCTCCGCATTACTACAACACAGCCGTGTCGCCGCAAGACTATCTCTACGGCACGAAGGGCGCGGAGCTCGACGACGAGACGCTCCGCATGCGCGTGCGGGTGACGAGCGACGACATGTTTGGCTTCCTCGCGACGGCCAAGAAGGACGCGGTCGTCCTCGGCGAATTCGCCGGTTTGTACAAGAACGACGAGAGCCCGAAGCTCACGATTCGGCGTACGACCGACTTTTTTGATCGAAACGATGCTCCAGCAGCAGTACGCGGCGGCTTCAGCTGGAGTTTGAACCCCGAGTCGGCCTACCAGTTCAACCCAGCGCCTGGCACGTACCACGAAGGCCTCCTCGAGCTCGACTGGCTCACGTCCAACTCGGTCTTCCTCCAAGGCATGGCGGCCATGGACAAACTGCCGGACCTCAAGCCCTGGCCGTGCATCCCTGTGCCCAAGAAGTAGGACGATCAACTTTGAATTTTGGACACATACGACACTCACTATATACGACCTATATACACCGAAACCCCTTGAATCTCAACGCCACCTTGACGCGATCATCCATCCACTCGGACCCACGATTATATTGGGACGGAAGAAAACTCAGCCGTCATCTTCTGGCGAGCGCAGCATTGGATGCAATGACGTTGCAAGATGCGGTAGGTAAATTCCATGTTGGTGTTAAAAGACGACGAGGAAGAGGTAGATGAAGACGACGAGGATCAGAAAAATCTTGAGGATGAGCGACCGATTGCCCGACATGGACGTAAAGTACTTGAGGAGTTCGTTGTGCCCGGCCTCGACGTTCATTTGCCTACATATCCGTGCATCACCACCTCGTCGTTCAACGCAGCATGTCGAGTGTACGCCGTGGTCATGTCGTCGTCAATGCGCTCGAGGACTTCACCCTACTCGTCATTAGCCCATGCATTGTTATCGTCTCGACAGATGTACCTGGCTCGCAATCAAGGACGACATGCGGTTGTACATGCTGCTAATCTAATACAAGAGTCTCATGAGGAGGACAAGGTCGCACTTAAAACACAAACCTCGACGATCGTCGACTCAATGTGCTTGGCGTCGTTCAGTCGCGCTTGGGCCGTGTAGCGCTGCATGGACGCTTGCTGCTGCTGCTGCTGCACGTAGGCGCTCGCTGTGCTGTTCTGGTTCATGTTGGGCCGACGTCGCAGCAGCGGCGCGCCTACGTCGGTCGTCACTCACGTTTTGATGTGAGAATTTGGATGGTCTCTGTACTCTGTGCACCCGGCAGCTCGGTCGGGGTCGCGACGGCTGCATGGTGGTTGTAGTTGCTGTTGCCGGTAGTTTGGTAGTTGCCGGCATGCGGGTAGCTGCTGGTCGGATGGCTACTGCTCGCGTAGGGCACCGCAGAGCCCATGCGCGGCGCGGCAGGTATCGTTGGCGGCGACGGCGGCTTGGCGCGCAGCGTCAGTGGCGTGTTGATCTGCACGTGCGGGCCTGCGTGGGAGAAGCGTTTTCGGCGGTCGTTGATCTCCTTGATGACGTTCGCGCGGGTTTGCATCCCGTCTTGGAGCTCCTTGACGCACTTGGCCATGCGCGAGTTGAGCGATGCGCAGATCACGCTAAAGTGGCGCTGCTGCTGGTTCTACACAACACCAACGCTGGCATGAGTCCCTAACGGAGGCAGCAGCGTACGTCGCCTTGCACAGCTTGCTGGAACTCGTTGATCTCCTTCGCAAGGATAGGCAACGACTGCTTGGTGATGTCGCAAATGCTCGAGATCTCCTTTGTCGGGTCGTCCTCGGCCGTCATGTGCTTCTTGAGCGCCAGCGTTGCGAGGCCGCGGAGCAGCATCTCCTTCTCGAGGAGCGCGTCCGAGATGCGCTGCGCCACGCGGGCGTACGCCGAGAGCGGCCGGTGCTTGGCCAGCAGGATCGGCGCGTCCGTGAAGAGCTGCGTGATGCGCACGAACTCGGTCGTCCGGTCCATCGTCGGCTTGCACGTTTGTTGCCGGATAGCGTTCGGATAATTTATTGAGTAGCCAATCCGATCGCACCACTTCATCGGGCGCGTACCCATACTATTACCGATACCTACACTAAATACGGAATTCGCCGTTCCATGAAGGTGACAATGACGCGCGCATCAAGGGACGTCGCGTCGGTCCCAAAGGCTGTAAACGAGGTATACTACGTGCGTCGAGACAGTGTGTGCATGGTAACCATCGTCTTTTCGACGACAAGCGCCAGAAATGACACTATATCCAAAATGTATACTATATCATGTACACTTCGAAGTTCGCAGCACACGTTCCGCCCTCGGTTTTGAAAAGCACTTGGTATTTGTATTGACGACGCTCGGCCCTGCTGGAATGATCATGCATCTCGGAACTTCGTCGAAGTTCGATGGCAGACAGGCGAAGATTGCAATCGCCGAGATTGCACTTTGACGTCTTGCTCCAGCAGCCGCAAATGGAGCCGCACCTTCGACACGGGTCTTTCCATTATATCAACTCGAACGAGCGACAAGCCCGCTGCGTCTCATGCAGAGGCCAACATCCACATCCGCGTCCAAATATTCGGCCCTCATTGCCTGTCACGACCAGAACGTTGGACTCTGTCAAAAGATTCTAAGCTTGGTTTCTTATCTTCTCGCTACGCGTGGCGGTGCAAAGACGGCGCTGCGCCGTACCGGCGGATGTCGTCGCCAAAGTACTCGAGGAGCATCTCGTCGATGGGCACGGGCGGATGATGCGCCATGTGCTGAAGGTGGGGCGCGGGGGGGAACGCCATGGGCGCGTAGGACGAAGCACTACGCGGATCGTGGTAGCTGCTCGAGGTGTACACTGCTGGGTACGCATCGTGCTGCTGCTGCTGCGGGGTGTACGGTGTGTACGCGTACGGCTGGTACCTGTCCTCGGCCATGGCGCGCGGGTACGGCGGCAGTGTGAGCGCGTCGTCTGACGCGAGCGCGCCGTCATAGTGCGGCCGATAGACGGCAGGCGGCGGTAGCTCGACGTGTGTGTGGGCCACGGCAATGGGCGGAATCATCGCCACGCGAAACTCGGGTTCGGCAGTGTTCGGGACGTTGGGGCTGCGGCGCGTCACTGCTGGGTCGAGCTGCGGCGACGGCGACGACCCGTACTCGTCGAGCCACTCGTCGGACGTGGCACGTTTCCGCAGCAGGCCTCGTCGCCGGCGCGAGAGCTTCTCGCGGTGCTTTTGTGCATGCGTCTGTGTCTGGCGCGCTGTGCGTGTGCCAATGTAGTCAGCGACCGACTTCCAAGGTCCCTGCGGGTAGAGCTGGATCGCGCGGAGGTACCTCCGGTGTTCGTCGCGGGTCCACTGTCCAACGCCTTGTTGCTGTGCCATCCTGACTCTTATCGTCGAATGCTGGCGACTGCCGAGCCATCACCGAGCAGCGTCACAGATACAGTGCGGAAGTTTCGAACCGCGATTTGAACCTGGGTCCGAGGGCACAATCGACAGAAGCAGATGGTCGACCTTTCTACTCAGCAAGGATCGAGCTGTGGTCTGCCGGCGCCCGGTATCCACGTGTCCACACACACGAACGGTCCTATGAGGCGCTGCGGCGGCATCCCGCCGAGTGCGATGACCGACAAGCGATCGCATATGGAGGACGCGATGCGTCGACATGTCTGCGCCGACGACGCGGCGTCACACATCGTGGACTGCCGTTGCCGCAGACCAAGGCAGCTGCGCAGCATGTTTTGGCGACGCCTGTTGGACGTAGACAAGAAAACTTGTCTGTCGGGAAATCGCCACGCACGTCTGCGACTCAAGGCTCAGACGCGTAGGATGCCCACTGGCCCATGACTCTCGCCTTCCAAGATGCCAGCGACGACGACGCCGCCGCCTTCAACAAATACCGCGACCTATCGAGGCGACCACGTGGGCTCGCTGGAGGGATAATGCAAACGCGTCCTCGAAAGAAAGACACATCAAGATGACGCAGCAGCTGGCGCACGCATGTGTATAACGACGACTTAGCCGACCTTACGCTTCTTCGCGCTTGTACTACTGCTGCTGCTGCTGCGACCAAAGGCGTGGCCGAATCGGTCGTCGCCTCGCGTGGCCGCGGCGCCGCGCTGCATCTCGGGGTGCTGCGACGGAAACGTCGGCATCATGCCGGGCTCCTTGGGAAATGGCTTTTCGTTAAAGTACGGATGGGCGAGCGCCTCCGTCGCCTACCATAGCCACGGTAGCATGCATGGCGTTTCTTGCGATGGTACCGTGAGCCGCTTCTTTGGGTCGTACGCCAAGAGCTGCGCCAGCAGGTTCATGCCCTAGCCCCATCCATGTATGAAGGGATGCGGTCGAAGATAAGATCTGTGTACGCTGCTCGAGAGCCGCTTCTCAAAGACCCGTTCGAGCGTGCTGTACGACGACGCGCCGTCGATGTGAAACTTGGAGGCATGCGGTAGCGCCGAGAGACCTGGCCAAATGCGCTCGTTGGGTCGGCCCAGAAGCTAGATGCACGAGTGAGGCTAGACCTACACTTATCGCACTCTTCCTCCAAGAAGTGGGTACCTGGTAGATCTTTTGGACCTGGTCCAAGTCGGTGGACCCGTTCATGAGCGGTTCGTTCAAGATGAGCTCACCAAAGATGCAGCCGATCGCCCTGGATGTATGGTGTTGTGCCGAGGCTTTCAGTAGGAGGTAGTATGATGTACCACATGTCGATCGCAGCCGTATACGTCTCGCAGCCAAAGAGGAGCTCGGGTGCGCGGTACCAGAGGGTCACGACCTTGGGCGTCAGGTTCATTTCCATGGGGTACCCCGTTTCGCGCGCCAAGCCAAAGTCGGCGAGCTTGACGCGGCCAAAGCCATCGTACAGGATGTTGGAGAGCTTGAGGTCTCTGTGCAAAGAAGCCGCCGTGAGCCATACCAGGAGCAGAGACAACTCACCGATGGATGATGTTGAGGCTGTGAAGGTACTCGACGGCGCGAAGGAGCTCGATCAAGACGCGCTTGGCCTACTGCAACGATGGCATCGCGGTGCATAGTACGAGAACAAGCAACTACCTCCGACTCGGTGAACGGGTGGCGGACGTTGGTCAGCAGCGCCGAGAGGTCGTGCTCGCAGTACTCAAAGACAAGAAAGACGCTAGTAGCATGCGGTCATGGCGTCGTCGTGACGGACCGCGCGTACCCCGAGCGCTTGCGACCCACGACCACGTCTTTGAGCTGCACGCAGTTCTCTTGGCGCAGCCGCTTGAGCAGCTTGATCTCGCGAATGGCCGTGATGGGAAACTAGAAGAGAGCGCCTGCATGTGAGGCGGCCATGGCAACCCGGAGATGGCATGGCTTACGCCATCTTGCTTCTCGTTGTGCAGGATCACGCGCTTGAGCGCCACGATTTCGCCGGTCGCCCGGTCGCGCGCCCGGTAGACCGTTCCGTACGTGCCCTCGCCGATGCGGTTGAGCTTCTCGAACTCGTCGACGTCGCGGCAAGTGCCAAAGGCCTCGAAGGGCATGGTCGGCGCCATCGTGCTGTTGGTCCACGCAATATCCGGTTCGCATCCGGATACAAGAAATCACACCTGGTTTGTTTGTATACCATACAACATGCCAGTCAAAAGGAAAATGCACACTATTTAAAGGCATCGCTGGAAATGGTATGACGGATCTCAGAAAAAGATACGCTTGCGATGCGATTTGCGACCGTCGTCGGCCTCCTCGGGACATGGCTTGCGGCCTGCGTCGCTGCAAAGCAGGATACCCGTACGTGGCTCAGAAGAGCAAGTCTCCATCACAGCGATGTAGGCTGCACCCTCCAGTATGGCGAGACGTCGGCCACGTGTGCGCTCGCGCTCTTTGGCGGGTTTCTAGCGTCGCCAGCCGTCGCGATCGATGCCATTGTGCTCGCCGATCCCATCCATGCATGCTCGCGCCTGAACATGACCGTGGCACCGTCGACGCTCGTGCTGGTCGCTCGAGGCGACTGTGCGTTTACAGACAAGGTCGGCGACACACACACAACACTCCCTGGATGATGCTATGGTCCAACGACTCTGCCGTAGCTGCGCCACGTCGCCGCTGCCGGCAGCGCATACATGGCCGTCATGAACCACAACGACGAAGTGTTTCCGATGGCTCGACCGAGATTGCAAACGGCAGCGTCCTTGCTGTGGTGCTTGGCCTCTCCGATAGCCGAGCGTTGCGCTCCGCCATCGCGACCAATATGCATCGCCCAGCCTATTTCCGCACGACGATGCATTGGTCGCAGCAGTGCTCTGCGCGGCTTCAAGCGCTTTTGTCAACGAATGTGCCGCGCGCCGCCGCCGCGACGTACACGGCCTGTGCTCGGAAGCTAGACGCCAACAGCTCGGTGGCCACGGCATTCCATGCCGATGCGGTGACGCGCTTCGTCAGCGATGCACATCGTGCGTGGGACGCACTTCAATTTGCCGCTGTGCAGAGCGCTGTCGCCGTCGCCGCGAGCGCGCCCAGCGCCGACCGTTGGCTCGTGGCGGCCGAACAGTTGCAGCTCTGGGGCCGCTTCGACGACGCCGCGATGCACTACGCGCACGCACTCGCGCTCGACTTGTCGCCGCAACTGCAACCCCGCGCGGTCTGCGGCGCGGGCCTCACGGCCTTTTTACGCGGCGAGTTCGTACAGGCCAAGGCGCTGCACGACGCCTGTGCTACTGTCTCTGCATACGATGCGTTCCCAGCCATGTTTGCGGTCGCCGTCGACCGCTTCCGCACTCTCTTTTCAAACAGAGACACCGCGCTGCTCGAGGCGCTAACCGAACAGAATGCGACGCTCTTGTGCCAGCATAGAGTGGAGCATGGCCGCGTCACGCTGCAGTTTGCGTCTCCGATCGCGCGCTACTACTATGAGACATGTACGCTAATGGGCGTCTTCCTCGACGAGCTTGGGGCGTTCGAGGCGTCGCTGGCGCATTTCCGACGCGGCCTTGCGCTCTGCGGCAAAGCCTCTGGCCTCCACGTACTACCTCAATCTTGCTGCTTGCGGTGATGCTAATGTGGCCCAGGTGCGGCTGGCGCTCGCGATCCCATCTGTCTTTGACTCGTTCGTCGCGATGGAGTCGTACATGAATGCGCTAATGACCCGCGTCGATGCGCTGACAAACGACGACCTACGGCGGGACGTTCAGAGCGCTCTGCGACCAGAAGACGCGGGGCACCTCGCATGGACAATCACTCCGCCAACGATGTTGCTTGGTTACCAGGTAGAGCACAGCTCTTCGAATGGGCCCGTCCACGCTGCGGTTAGGGCTTGCCGACTGCGGCTATGCAGACGCGCATCGCTGCCATGTACGAGCGACTGTACCCGGTAGCTTTCTCCAGTGCGCCAACGACCGAGGTGACGACAACGACGAGGCGGCGTGTTGCGTTTGTCTCGTCCTGGTTTCGATCCCACTCGGTGGGGAAGCTTCTCCGCGGCATTTTACAGCACCTGGATCGGTACGTCGAGAGCTCTACCGTGTACGGAGAGCTCTACGTGCTTAGGACAACCCTCGATGTGGTGGTGTATGCGTCGTCGCACTTTTTCCCGATTTCGGCCACGGACACCATCACGGCGGCGATCATGGACGCCGTGGATCGTTTCGTGGTGCTGCCACACGACGCCGTGGACGCGCTCGCACTCTTGCGCGCCGACGCCATCGACGTGGTCGTGTTTCCAGAAATTGGTATGGACGCGTGGACGAGGTTCCTCGCCCACCACCGGTTTGGGCGCGTCCAATGCGTCTTTTGGGGCCACCCAATTACGACGGGCTTGGTGAACAGCATCGACTACTTTCTTGGCTCGGGTGCGTCGCCATATAAGATGCAGAGCGTCGTCGATGATGTCTCTAGATCTCTACTGGGACGACGACGAGCAAGCGGACGATGCATACTACACGGAGCAGCGTGTTCGGTTCTCGAGTCTCTCGACGTACTTTTTCCAGGTTGCCATGAGCCTTTGTTTCCGCGCGCGCAAGGATAATGCTTTAGCCAGAGACGACAACTCTGCCGTTCACTGGGCGCGATCACTTTCACTTGCCGCCTTCCAGTCACGTGTACTTGTGTCCCCAAGTAAGCGTCTCGGGCCGACACGAGGGTTGCCACTGCTGCAAGTAGACGCTCATGAAGCTCCACCCAGCGTTTGACTCGATTTTCAACGACATTCTCACGTTCGACCCGAACGGCCTTGTCGTGCTGCTATATTCACCGCGCCAAATCGTGTGGAAGCACCGGGTCCGGGACCGCCTGGCACGGAACGCGCCGGCTGTCCACGACCGCATTCTCTTTCTAGAGACGCAGCCGTACGATAAGTTCTTGTCCCTTCTCGCTACCTCGGATGTCCTGCTCGACCCGTTTCCGTTTGGAGGCGGCGTCACAACCCTCGACGCTCTCGCTGTCGGCCTGTACGTCAAGTAGGGACCAAGTGTGCACGATTTGAGTCGAAGTGTGTAGACCGGTTGTGACGTTGCCGGCCAAACAGACGGTAGTGGCCCTCGCGGCCGGCTTTTGCCGCCGGCTCAACCTCTCGACGTGCATCGTCAAAGATGAAGCGGCGTACGTGGCGACCGCAGTCGCGCTCGCGAGCGACAAGCCCCTGCAGACGAGTGCCCGCCAAGAGATTCTGGACGCCCATCGCACTTTGTACCACGACAAGGCGACGGTCGACGAGTGGAGTGCCTTCTTGCGCTCCGTGTAGCATGCATCGAGTGTAGGCAATATGTACGATGGAGCGTCTTCGGCCTTGAACACGTGATGTAGGAGCGTCCGTGGCTGGCGCCTCGTCCCTTATCTTTAAGGCAGCCAAACATACGATCTTGTGGCGCGGACGTCGATGCACGTACAATGGAATGCGCTGGTTGGACAAAATAAACGCCTTTTCTACCATCCCATTGGACACATTGCCATGTCAATTTTCTACTCGTCTGGCTCCTTCCCGCTCACATGGACAATATTGACCAAGCGATTAGTACCGTCTTGCATTCTTATGGTTGTCGGAGCGTTACCTGAGGTCTCTCTGGCCGTGCACCCATCTCAAATTACCACCGTCGGAGGTCGACACATGTTACAGTATCGCGTGGGGTTCAATTATTTCTTACAATAAACTTGTGTGTCTAGTCTAGTTAGATAAGAGGTGGATTGCGTTAGACGACTTCTTCCACAAACGGGCTCTCGCGCAGCGGCGCGTCGTCCGCGTGCCGAGGCGACGAGAGGCTGTAGCGCGACCGCGCCGCCCGATCGATCGCATCCAAGAGGAACGCCTGCTCGGCCAGCGTCTGGTCCATCTTGCGAAAGCTGTCGCGGATCTCGGCGCGGGGCGTGCCGACTGGCGTGCCATTGCGCGAGTTGGCCGCCGACATGGTCGCTTTGGTCAGCGTCGCCGTCTCGTGGGCGACGCGGCGCGCCTTGACCGACATCTTCCACAGCTCGTGGGCCATCGTGTTGGAGTCCATCTTGGCGCCGTGGTCGTACGCGGTCTTGTGGCCGTTGGCGTCAGTGAAGGGCTGCGGCGACGACGCGGCGGGGAACTCTTCGTCCTCGCTCGGCGACGTGAGGTTCTTGCGGCGGTTGGTGCTCGAGCGCGACTCGCCCGAGGTCGGTTCCGTCTCGAGCGAGAAGAACGAGAGTCGGTTGTTCGAGTCCCGGTACGTCGAGCAGTCGCTCACTATTCAAGATTGGAGAAAAATGTCAGAAAATAATGCCAGAAAATCGCCCGAAAAGGCCAGAAAACAGCGGACGTACAGTTGGTGCCGTTGGGTGCGCGCTTGGACGACGACGAGCACTGCGACGACGACGCTGTCGACGACCGCGCGTAGAGCACGCACGGCTTGCAGAACTTTTCAATGACCGCGTGGTGGTGGGTGATCTCGAGCAGCTCCGTGCCGTAGATCGGGCGCAGCACCATGCACTTCTTGCACATGACCTACCCCTTGCGAGATGAGCATCCCAAGGTCGAGCGATAGACGTACCTCGCCGCACGCTCGGCAGTGGTGGCGGGCGCGGAAGAGCCCGAACGAGTGGTGGCACGCGTAGCACTCTTTTCGCTCACTACATAAAAGTCTCTCAAGACGACGTAGAGAATCGATAGTGTATGTACCTGTCGGGGACCCATTGGACACGGTCGCAGAGCGGTCGGCGCGAGATCCGATACGACTCGAGGTGGATCGAGAGCTGGTGCATCGAGTTGAGGAGGTTGGTCGAGAAGGCTTCGACGGCCCGGGACGGGAAGCTGAGGCTGCCTTGCGGATCAATGACGCCGATGGTCGTCATGCGCGTGCCATTCGTGGGCGACGTCTGAAAGAAAACGGCGACTTGGATGTGGGCGCGGACGAGGTCGAACGGCTTCTCGAGGAGCGGGCAGTTGGGCACGTCGACCGAGTTGCAGAGAATGTAGAAGAGCTGGTTGCCGTCGCTGTCCATCGTAGCGCCCGTCGTCTTGAGCACGCACGTGTCGCGGCGGCTCGCGGACCGTACCGGTGTGTTCCACGCCATCCAGCAGAGACTCGAGAAGCGGCAGAAGCGCAGCGGGTCGTCGTCGTCGCTGTGCTTGAGCACGTGCAGCATGACGCCGTCGACAAACATGCTCGGAAAGTAGATTTGGCCCCAGCGCCGGAGCGAGTCCGTGTCGTCGGCGTACATGAGTTCCATCATCTCGAGCGGGCCGCCTTCAATGTCGGTGCGGCACGTGAACTTGATTTCGCTGGACCCGCCTTTCGTCGTCTTCTTCTTCATGCGCACCACCGAGTCGTCGCGCTCGTAGACCGAGTAGCCCTGCGCGTCCACTTCGTGCCGAAAGGGCCGCGGCAGGTGCGGGTGGCTCTGCGACCGGTGGCGCGACTCGGTGCTTTCGCGCTCAACGTACAAGTTGGCGAGCGCAATGTCAAGGTGGCGCGTCGCCTCGGCTTCGTACATGGCGGTTTGGGTGGCCGAGAGCCGGCCTTTGCTGGAGCTGCTCTCAAAGTAGCTCGACCGCAGCGGAAACGGTGACCCGAGCGGCAGGCCGCCGGCCATCATAAAGTCGCTGCCCACCATGAGATGCGACGAAGTCGAGTGCGGTGAAGATGCGAGAATCGTGGGCGTCGGCTCCGCGTCAAATCGCCAAGTGCACTTTGCTCTTCATGACCATTGCTGCACCCCGTTCCCGAGATCCGCCTGTCGCCAGGTGGCAAATGCCAGCTGGATTTATCACCATTCCCACACGTTCACGGTGTTATCGACGCACAACACACGCACACCTTTTGGCTCTGCAAATGGGTGGCTTCGTTCCATGCAACCAACAACAGCAAGAGCATCAACGACGACGACACCGACACGACACTCGTGACGTGGGTAAACCGAGCGAGCGAGGTATGCTCCTGCCGCGTCACATGGACTTTTTTTCATTTTTCACCGTGTGGTCGCACGCGGGAGCTTGAAGTGGCTGGACGTGCGCAATATTTGGCCTCCCACTGTGAACAGTAGCCGCAGCATTGCATACAAAGCGCAAGTGCGATCCGTTCCTTGTAGTAGAAGAACGGCGTCGAGTATACTCACTCGCCCATCCATATAATACAACCACAGTATTTCAGAGCACGACAAAAAAACACCCAAATGCGCTGAGCTATTACTCACCTTGCGGCTGCATCGCCGGTGCGCCAGTTTGAAGCACGCCTGGAGGCGCCACGACGCCAAGAGGCTCTCGGTTCCAATAGTGGCCGTTCGCAGATCCGGTCGGCATGACCAGTGCGCGCTGTGTTCGCCACTGTCCCTTTCTGATGCCAAGCATCCGAGCACGAACGTGTGGTCAGCAGGCGCGTCGGACAAGAGGACGTGGACTGGCTACAGCTGCTGGGTCAAATCGAGTTCACTTTGGATTCACAGGATGAGATCGGTGGCAGTCGACAGCGTTGTTTTGTCCGAACGCCCCGACTTGACGGAAGCTGTGTTCCAGCTCTTGCAGGACCAATGGCCGATCCATGAAGAGACGCGCCGGCGAAGCCTCTCGCCCACTGCAGACGACGATCGCGTGCTTCTTCTCACGCCTGCGGATACTACGACGACGTCGAAGCGAGTGGTGGCGCACGCCCAGTTGAAGTGGCCGCAACCAAACGTGTGTCTCGTGGTGTCAGTCGTCGTGGATCGTGCGCTGCGCCGCCAGCATGTGGGCGAGACACTCATGGCAGCCGTCGACGCGCGCATTCGCGCCCGCAACCGCGCCGTGACCACGTACGTCTGGACCGCCGATCAAGGTGCGTACAGTTGTAGTGGTGTGAGGTATGTAACGCTGCGCAGAGGCATTCTTTGAACGTGTCGGGTACCGTACGTGTGCGCCGTTCGACGGTCGCCATCGCGCGGTGGCCAGGCTCGACCAGGCACAACAGCATAATCTGTCCAGCTTTTTCCAGCGGCGTATGCACAGCGCCTCCGACGACGACGACAACAAGAGCAACCTGGTATAGAACTCGCACGCAGTTGGGATCAGCAACCATTCATTGCTGCTGCTCTGTAGGACGTCGTGTGGCTGTGCAAGACTTTGTAGCGTTGCGATCTTCGCCCAAGATACCGCATCGTGATTCGCTAAAAAACAGCCAATGAAACGAGGCGATAGTACGATTGCGAGTTTCAAAGGTCAGATTCCATGCAGCGCCGCAAGAGCAAGCGCAGTGCGCCCGCCGTCCCGTTGGAGGAAGCGACGTGCGAGGGCCCGATCACATGGGCGGATCCTGTTCTCGCCGCGCTTCTGGCGACGACGCTGGGCGTGTACGGCGCGACGTTGTACCCGAGCGTCGCGGGCGGTGATAGCGGGGAGCTGCTGGCCGAAGCGTGCCACTTGGGCGTGGCCCATCCCCCTGGGTACCCGCTCTACAGCATGTTGAACTACGTCGTGATGCAATTGCTGCCCGGTGGCCCGTCCAAGGCATGGCGTGCGAACGCCTTCTCTGCGGGTACTTGTTGAGGCATTCTTCTTCAACCCAATGGACACGTCCGTAGCGTGCGACAGCCTCTGTGCGATATACATCTACTGGGCGACGCTGCTTTGGCTTCCGCCATCCTACGATCGATGGATGGTGCGCTGCGCGGGCGCAACTGCGGCGGTACCAACGCTCGCGTGATGATCGCATTTCCCACGGGGTGCAACATGGTAGGTTTCGTTTGCGCTCAGCCCGCTTGTCTGGACGTACGCAGTTGGCGCCGAGGTTTTCTCACTCAACAATGCCTTTGCTGGCGCGCTTCTCTACGTCCTCCTTCGTTTTGCAACCGCTTCGACGCCGTGGCCACTCGCTTGCGTTGGCGCCACTCTCTGCGGCCTCGCGCTGACCAACCAGCACACGATCGTGCTCTTTGAGCTACCGCTGATTCCGTGGGTTCTATGGTCCCTGCGCGCGACGCTGAGCCTGCGACGGCTCGGGCTCCTGAGCCTCTTCTTCGTTCTTGGCCTTCTCCCGTGCGCCAGTAACGCGTCGTCGCCATCTTGAATGCTGTGGTAGGTATGTGTACCTGCCGGTGACGTCCTTCTTGAAGCCGCAGCCTGGGTCCTGGGGCGACGTAACCTCCATCGGCGGCTTCGTCCATCATCTTCGGCGTGGCGGTACACATATGGCTCGAACATGCAATGTGATCCATGCGAATAATCTTGCTAGATTACGGCACCTTCCGGCTCTTCTCGACCGAGAAGGAGACCGAAGGCCTCTACGAACGCCTCGCCCTCTATTTTTCGGACCTCGTCCAGCGCGAGGTAATACTTATTCTTTGAGTTATATAAGTTATGAGACATGCGCATACTACAGGGCAGCTATGTCGTGGCGCCGCTGGCCGTGGTCGGCTGCGTGGTGTCGCTCCGCCACGCGGCCGGGCCCGTCGTCCTCGCCATGTACCTCGTGTACATTGTGGGCTTCCACGCGCTCGCGAATCTGCCGCTGACCGAAGGGCTTCTCTACGGCGTCCACATGCGTTTTTGGCAGCAGCCCAATGTCATTGTGTTTACGTATGCCGGCGTCGGGCTCGGCGTTATCTTGCAGGCGCTGCCGACGCGGCCGACGTGGCGGCTTGCGATTGGTGCAACGTGCGCCGTCGGTGCGGGTGTCGGCCAATACGTACGCTGGCATGCCATTTGCGACCAAAGCAGCGCCACGTACAGTTGCAATGTATCAAGTTGACACCGAGCACGTGCGGGTGTAGGTTCATCGCCCAGTACGCCAAGGCGCTCTTGGACCCGCTGCCTAAGAACGCACTGGTGTTCATCAATTATGATCTGCAGTGGACGTCCATGCGGTACCTCACACGCTGCGAAGGCTACCGGTGCGACGCTCTTCCTTGACTCCGAGACAAGATGACGCGTAGGCCTGACCTCACGATCATCAACCTCTCGATGATGACGTATGCGTGGTTTGGCACCAAGCACGCGCTGTACCCGCAGCTTATCTTTCCCGGCTCGCACCTCGTGCCCGCCTCGACCTCGGTACCTCTGCCAGCTTGAACGGCACCACACAAATGATGATCTTACTGCGAACAGCAAGGCGGCGGCTTTAGCTTGTTGCAACTGCTTGATGCCAACGCAAAGCGCTATCGCAAGGCCGGCATCTACCTCGGCGGTCAGCTCAACTACAAGGACAGCGACCTCTTGCGCGCGTACACGTTTGTGCCCCACGGCCTTCTCGACAAGGTAATGAATCGCTGAATCTTTTCACGCGGATCAACGAGAGACGGCTAGTTGCACCCGACATCGATGCCCGTGTACCGCCGCCTTAAGACGTGGCATGCGCAAATGACCAAGACGCTCCAGGTCGTGCATCACCACCTGCCAACGTTGCCGCCGCCGTCCCGCTACAGCGACGAGACGTGGGAGTGGACCATTGTGCACCGACCGACTTGGCTGCAAGAGAGTCAAAAAGTGGAGTGGTGTAGGCGCGCGACTACCACATGAAGCGGCTCTCGCTCGCGACCTTCCTCTTGGACGAGACGATCAAGGCGAACGGGTCCATCGCATGGCTCGCCGAGGCGGCCAAGCCCATGGAGCACTCGCTCCTCTCCGAGCCAAGACAATTCTGGACCGACGACCTCCTCAAGAACCTCGTAACAACATCTCGCCCGTCGACTTGATGGCTCAGAGATGTAATAGGGCCTCGCGTACGCCTACATGGTCAAGTCACCAGAGACGCTTCCGTCGGAGGCGACGGACGTTCTCTTGCCGCACGTTGGCGCGAGCGTGCGGGACGCGGCCAAGTACGCTTTTTTCGCCCTCTGATCGCAGAGCTCATGGGCGCGCGTAGCTGGAAGGACCGCGCCAGTGCGCGCATGCTCGAAGTGTGGCACATGTGGCTCCAGCTGCCGTCGGCGAAACGAGACCCGGGCTACGCAGCCATCCAGGGCATTGTCGCGCAGTTTCTTCCGTCGTAGATCGCAGTAGAAGAACCCTTTTATTGATAGAGCTTGATGAGTTCGTCCGAGACAGCCGACGGCGTGAGGACGCCGAGGTCCGTGAAGAGGAGCGAGATGTAGTGGGGCGGCGTGTAGTCGCAGGACGGGCTCCCGACCGTGAGGTTGGTTTGCGACGTCGTCTTGGGTCGGCACGCGCACGCGGGGAGATTGCTCATGTCGTCCTTACGGCTGTGGGGAAAGTCGCTTTGGTTGAGCGGGTACAGGCGTGCAAACTTGTAGCTTTCGGCGGCCACGTAAAAGGGCTTCTTCATCGCATGCGCGATCATGGCGGCCGAGAACGTCCCGATCTTGTTGACGATGCCGCCGTTCTCGACGACGCCTTCGGCGCCGACGATGACCATGTCGACCTTCTCCATGTAGTAGCCCATGGCGGCGTCGACGATGACGGTCGTGGGAATACCCGCCTTGGAGAGCACCTCGGCCGTCTTGTAGCCGGCGCCGTTCGGGCGGCCCTCGGTCACGAGCACCGAAAAGTGCTTGGTCTTGGCGGCCTGGAGGAGCTTGGCAGTCTCAGACGCGACGCGCCGTGCGTCAGCACCTGCATGCCGTCGCGCACAAAGTTGTGGCCGAGGTCGGCAATGCGCTTCCGGCTCAAGAGCGACGTCTCGGCGAAGAGCTTGCCGCGGTCAATGAGCTGGCTCTTGCACTGGTCAAAGTCGTCAAACTCGAGGAAGCAGCGAGTGACGTAGCGCAGA